CCATGGCGTTGAGAAACAGCTCGGTGGTTAAGAGCACTTATTCCTGCAGAGGACAAGGGTTCGATTCCCAGCACCTAGGTGGTCCAAAAGCATCTGTAAACATGCAAGCAAGACACTCAAAGACATAAAAATAAAACATTTTTAAGATTTGTTTGTTTATTTGGTTGGTTTGGTTTGTTTTAAGTCTAAAGTCAACTTGAACAATTTTAGTAAGACTTTGTCTCCAAAAAAAAAATTATTTTTAAGTCCAGACATAGTGGCAGGCAGATGCCTTTCTCAGAGTTTGGGAGGCAGAGGCAGGCAGATCTCCAAGTTAAGAGGCCAGCCTGATCTGCAGAGCGAGTTCCAATATATCAATAGCTACAAAGAGGGACCTTGTCCAAAAAAAAAAAACAAAACAAAACAAAAAACAAAAACAAAAACAAAAAAACAAAAAACACAACACCAAAAAATTAGTGCCAGCCAGGACATGACTAAGAGAATAGAGGATACTGGCCACCTATCCTGACAATCTTGAAGGAAACCAACCAACCAACCAACCAACCAACCAGGAAACACATAATAGGAAGAAAAGAGTCAACTCAGCAAGTTGTTCCCTGACCTCCACACTAATTGACATAAGCTGATGAAGGTGTTTATCCAGCATGAACCAAAACACAAAAAAACCTCTTCAATTATAATTTTCCCTGTTCCCACCAGGCCTACTGGTGATGACAGAGAAGTCACCTGCAACTTCATGTTTAAGTATGCATTAGTATAACAACATACCTAAGGAAGCTATCTCCCGTTCTAGCGAGAAGTAACAGGCCGCTCCACCTTTCCGCCTGTGTATAAACAAAACGCGCACTTGCATTTATTCACTCTTTCAATCATCCGGCCACTCTGTGGGAGCAGCACGGCATGTGCAATAAAAAGAAGGGAGATCAGGGGCCTGGAGGCCCAGCTTTGCCACCTACCAGCTCCAGGCTTTGAGTAAACCACACAATGTCTCTAGGCCATGGTTTCCTCATCTCTGAAATAAGGACAATAATAGTGCCCATTATTCGCAGAGTCACAACGATTAAATAACTAAATTAATGTGAGCGCTTGGCAAAGAATAAGCCCTCAAGAGTTAATCATCATAATGACAGTAATTATAATAATTACTATGAGTATTAAAAACATACACTCATTCACACATAGGTGCCAGGCTCTGGACGAGCCAGCAAATATTTCTGGCCTTCTGATAGAGCAAGTATCTTCGGGGCGCTGGATTGTTTTTCATGGCAACTCCTCCAACGTATCTTCCCTTGCTTGACAAAAGATAAGGGTGCCCCAAGCACCAGGGATACTTGCAGCATTTGGACTGCACCCCCCCCAAAGCCACGTTTAAACAATTATGAGCATTATGTTGCAGGTACCCATGACCATAGGAGGCCAGCCCAGCACAGTGCTCATCTTGCAGAGGTGCCTTTTGTGTGGGTTTAGGGTTACAGTTGGGCAATGCAAACCCATAGAGTGAGTCGCAAAACGAGTTTTCATAATCTCAACCTGTCACAAACCAAGCAGGGGTTCACGCTGACATCCCCACAGTAAGATTAAACATCATGCTTCAGCAGGCACTAAATACTAACACAGCTCCCACGTCAGGGGGACACTGATTAAAACTGATGTCAATAACTTATGAAACACAATATGGTCTTCAGATGCTCTTTTGAAAAACAAAAAAAGAGGAAGAGGGGGAAGGAGGGCCCAGCAATCCAGGTGGTTTAAAACTGTTGGGGCATTTTCCCTCCAGTGTACATCCCTCCCACACACCATGCATGGGTGCTTCTTTACACAGTCAATGCAAACGCACATGTGTAGAAAAGCATGTGAACGCTGCTGATACATATGGTGGGAAGAAAGAATTTGGTTATTCCACTGAGAGATCTCCAAGATGGAAGGGTAGACACAGTCTTCTCTTTCATATTACTTCAAGAGATCTTTCTGTCCAGAAGAAACCAAAAGGTTCATTGAAAACATTGGCCTTCACGACAGTTCACATTTGCTCTGTAGAGAAACTTGCCTTGAAGCAATACTGAGATGAAAGCCCCACCTAAGAAAACATATGCGCTTGCTATCTTCACTGCCTAGGAATCTCTAAGTGCCTGGTCCTCCTTGCAAGGATATTCAGTAGTCTAAATTCTTAGGGATTTTGTTGAGGAGGGAGTGGAGGCTAATCTAGGGAACTGTCCCATTTAGGCCTATTATAAATCACATCTTATTACTTCTTAAAGAAATAACAAGAATGGCATGGTGAGGCTGCTTGATTTTTGTCAAAACATATATATATATATGTATATATATATATATATATATATATATATTTAATTTAAAAAATGTAATCCTTTACCTTAGTTGTAAATAGTCTAATAGTCAGGGCAGCTTCATTTCATCTGTCAACAGTGTGAAATTCACAAAATGGGATTATGTTGGGGGGGGGGTCTGAGTTGCTGAAGGTATAAAGTTAGTATCTGAAGGATTTATTAATGTTTCTCCCAGCACAGTGCCTCTCAGGGTCTCAGAGCACCTGTCAAATACTAATTCATCCACATATCTCCACTACAGGGCCTTTTCATAAAAAGCTGGACCTTTAATAGTAAATCACTCCTAAATTGTCCTTGTTGGCTTTCTTTCTAACAGAATGATGGAAAAATCGCTAAGACTTCAATTAAGATTTTATGGGAACTTCAATCTGATGTTCCCAGTCCTATCTACAAGGTATCAGAACATCTATTCAAAAAGGAAACTATAAATAACTTCAGCAGAGTTGAGTCGGCTTGACTTTTATGAAATGACTGAATAATTGGCAAGATTTAAAGATGCTTTAACTACGAAGAATTAAAATAACTTCAGTAAAACCCTGAAAAAAATATTGTTAGCCGATCATTTGTCATGTAGATTATGTACTTACTAGGCCTAATTAAACTTTTTGAACAAAAACCACTTGCTAATTACATTAGTTAATATGTTGATTGCTCAACTTGGCACAAAAAAAGGAGGGGGGGGTCAATCCAATTTGTGTGTAGTTAGTGCTTTGGTAGAAAGAGAAAAATCCCAAACTGGAGAGATTATTTTATGTCTAGGACCGCCATTACAACAAATACCACGTTGTGTCTTCACAGCCTAAGTGACAGAGAGAGGCGGTGAGTAAGGGCAGGAGGAACCGTCAAGCTAGTAATATTTCTGCCACAAATCTTTATTGTTCACTTCAATGTATCCTCTCAGGTTTGTACAATTAAACCCCCAATGGTGACCATACAAAGTCACCGTTCATATGCACACACAAACTTAAACTGATAGCAAAACCCTGGGAATCCCTTTAAATGCCAATAAAGGGCTTTTCCACACAAAAGGAAGAAAAGAAAAGAGGAGAGGCAAAGAGGAGAAGGATGGGGAAAACTAACATTTCCCAGGGACCTGAACAGATCAAAGGCACTTTATTCTCCAAGACGACTAAGTCTGGGTGCCGACTACTTTACAGAGGCCTGAAAAGTCTCACACTGGAAGCTAGTTCTTCTGTCTCTTGAAGGTTAGGGGATGCTCAATTAGGTCTGCCGAAGCTGGGACGCACTGCCTTTTTAAATGGGAGGCCCTGCAGAGCAACAGGAGGCGCAGGCGTCTGCAGACCAGGGCTCCTGCCTGGGCCTCTCTGTGCGCCGACCCTCCGAGACATGTTTTCCATTCGCTTGCTCAAAACTCTGCATCCACAGTCATGAGGCACAAACTATTCGACAACAACATGACACAATTAATCAGAACCAGACTTCAAAACGTGTGTTTGTGGGGACGGGCAAACTGCAATGCCTCCAAGGGCGAAGCTATTGAAGAGGCTTGCACTGGCTCTCTGGGGTTGGGAGGGAGAGAGGGGAGAAATCTGTATGTTCACAAAAGATGCACACCAAATGGCATATTATGGACTAAATGATTTTCATAAATGGTTTAGGCATTTACAGCTAAACCTGAAAAAACTAACTCTCTCTCTCTCTCTCTCTCTCTCTCTCTCTCTCTCTCTCTCTCTCTCTCAAAACTGATGCCTGGGAGTTTCTGCACCAACAAAGTTGTACAGTTCAGAAGTAGAACATACCCTTTCTTAGCTTCCTTTCTGACCCAAGCGTATTCACCAGCACCTGGTTTGTTAGATTCCTCTTTCAGGAATTGAAACTCCATTAAAAATCGAGACGAAGGGCCCTTAGTTAATTCAAAACTGTTCAATTTCATCAAACCCCGGAGCTAACAAAAAAATCTGGTAGACTTCTTTTTTTGGACCAGGATTGAATTAGTTTAAAATAGTTACTGAGGCCTCCTTTGTAATCTGTAGATAGTAATTAATTGAAATCACATCACCCCCCTTTTGCTAACATGAACACGCTGTTCAAAAGGGGGGGGGAGAAAAAGATCAAACCATAAAAGACAAATGCAGGGTGCAAAAGTGACATTTGCAGGGAACCCAACTGGTCCCAAGCTGCAAAGAGTTCATCTTTGCCATCTCCCAAGGGATTCGCAATTGCGGCTCTGGAACGTCCCGGATCCCCAACCGCGCGCCCAGCTGCAACCTTAGGAAGTGTGTGGGGGGTGGGGAGTGAACCCCAGGCACTGAGCAAACTGAGAGGAAGGGAGTGAATGTGTTTCTGTTTGGATCTGGGATTAGACCGACCTGTTGGCAAATTTTCTCCAAACCACTCCCTTCACCCCCGACCTCCGGTGGCACTTCACCAGCTGCTTCTTGGTTTAGAAGTGGGTACGAAGACACACACTAGGGCACCCACACCCAGTGCTGCCGGAGTAGACATACCACTCTGTTCTCAATCCTCCCAGGTCTTGTGCATCACACAGCAATTGTAACGACCCCTCAACCCACAATCCCACGATGCTCGAACGCTTGGCGCCCGCGCTCCGGAAAACCCGCGGCTACGAGGTCCAGCAGCCCCCGCCCGCGTCTCCACCCACCGCCCGCGGCGCCGCGGCGCCCCACTCACCCACGCACTCGTTGGCCTCGCGGGCCGTGGCGCGCTGCCAGGGCCGGTCGTAGTGGAAGGGCTTGCAACGGTCGCATTCGGGGCCGGCTGTGTTGTGCCTGCAGTCACACACCAGGCTGTCGTCTCGGTCGCGCACGCAACGTGCCGCGTGGCCGTTGCACTTGCAGCGGCCGCCAACCTGCAGGTCAGACACTGCATAGAAATAGGAGTCGCGCGCCAGCTCCGAGTCATCTTCGTTCTCGTCGCCAAACGTGTGCAGGCGGCTGAAGGCCACGCGGATGTCGGTGGCCGTAACCCAGTCCTGCAGCACTGGCGAGTTGTCGAAGTCGTGCGCCGAGGGCCGCCCGTCCAGCGTGCTGAAGGCGATCAGGCCGCCTGAGAGCGGGCGCATGTCGGTGTGCGAGTCGGTGCACACGGCCTCCTGCTCATTCTGCTTGGTGATGGGCGCGCGGTGCGGCCGGTTGTACATCTTTCGGCACTGCGTGGAGTAGAACTGGAAGGGCACCCACGTGCGCCCATAGTCCATGGACTTGTAGATGGCCATGGACTCCGGCCGCGGCGAGCAGAACTGCAGGCTCACGTAGGTCACCTCAAACTTCTTGCCGAGCGACAGCGTGAGCGTCACGTTGTGCGGGAACTGCAGGTAGTTCTCGGACTGCCAGCACGTCAGGTTGTGCGGGTTGTTGAGGTCGGTGAGGAAGGCAGGCGGGTGCGCTTTCTTAGGGTCGGATGAGTTGCAGAGGTGGCACGAGCGCAGCCGCTCCTCGCCACGCTCGCTCACCACGCAGTAGCGCGCCGGGGGCCGGCCACAGGTGCTGGACACGCGCACGTCCTTGCCGAAGGCCGCGTTGACAAAGTCTGGGATGCAGCGGCGAGGGTGCCCGTTCTCATCCGAGCAGGGATCGGGCTGCGCCGCCTGACCCGCGAACATGCTGAGCCCGGGCCCGCCGCGCACCGCGCCCACCAGGCACGCCAGCGCCGCCAGCGCCGCCAGCGCCTCCCACACAGCGCGCATCATGCCGTGGCCAGCTTGCCCCGGCCCCGCTGCACCGAGGAGTCGGTCTGCCCGCCGCACCAGGCGCCTGCGGAGAGAGGGAGCCGCGCTCAGCCAGCCAGCAACCAGCCTGCCCCGCGCCCTACAGCCCTCGGCCGAGTGGCGGGCGACTGCCCGGCTCCCCGGGGCACCAACCCCGGAGCTGCCTGCTTTACTCCTCCGAAGTCCCAGGAGCCCCCGAGCACCGGGGCCTCCAAGCTTGAACAGCCCGCTCCCCTTCCTCCCGGTTACCCCGGCCTCCCCACAGCCTCCCCGCCAAACGAGGGGCATGCCCCGCGCCCGTCTGCCCATCCGCAGCCTTACCCGCCTTGCACCCTAAATCTCTCGGGCGCAGCAGTGCTCCGGGTCCCCCAATACCGCAGAGCTAACGTCCCTTTCCTCCCGCCACCTGGGGTCCCTTCTCAAATGCCCCCTCCCGGTCGCGTCCCCAGTGAGGGACTCCGCTTAGGGGACTTTACCTCTAAGTGACGGCAAAAGAGAAAGAAAAGTTTGCCTGGCCCCAGCCGGGGAGCCCGCGCGCCGGACCGCAGAGAGCCTCTCGCTGGCGGCTAGCAGGAGCGTCCTGTCTCAGCGCGGGCTTGCCAGCTCCATGCCCAGCGCGGCCGCCGCTGCCCCAGCCCCAGCCCCGGCCCCGGCCCCCGGCCGCCGCCGCCTCTTCCTCCCGAGTGACTACGCGGCTGGCCGGCTCCCGCTGCGGTCGGAGTGCTGCCCTGCCCGCGCCCGGGGCGCACACACACACTCAGGCTTGCTGGCGCGCACTCACACACGCACGCACGCCCCCGAAGGCTCCTCCGCCACCGCCGCCGCCGCCGCCGCCACTCGCGCTGGGAGTGGGGGGCGGAGGGGAGCGCGGGGGCGGGGCCGCCGGGCGGGGCGCCGGCCAATAACGTCGGCAAGCAGCCGCCCGCTCGGGAGCAAAGTTTTAACCCCGGGAAAGAAGAAAGTTAAAGCCAACCGGCCCGGGATGCTCCAGAGGGCGAGAGCGAGCGGGTGGGAACCTGGGAGCCCGAGAAAGAACAGCAGAGACAAAGAGAAAGCGAGAGGAGCGCCCGGGGAAACCCCGGAGAGGGGGCAGGGCCCGCGCGCACCCTGTGGGGGTGGGGTGGGGGCGAGGACGGCTTTCTCCCTCCGAATCCCAGCCAAACACATCTGTGTTTGTTTTCTTTTCTGCGCGGAGGTCCGGCCTTCCTCCAACCCAGCCTGGTGGCCCCGGGTGGCACCGTGCACAGGGCCGTGCCCCTATGGGCACTCAGCCCCAGAGGCGTGAGGGAGGGGAACAGGAAGGGGACGTAAGCTCTACCTGCTCTTTACTCCTGCCCCGAGACCCTAGGGTTTGGCGACGTCGAGGGACAGCACCTAAACCTCCCAGAGTTGTCACTGCCTTAGGCCCGTCTGTAAAGAATGAAATTTCCTTTCAGGCCTGGAAGCTGTGGTGGACTGGAGGCTAGGGCGAAGAAGCTAGGATGCACCTGGATGGTGGCCTATTCAGGTCTGTCCAGAGCCTCAGAGGTGGGGCCAGGTCAGTCCTCCCAAGGTCCCCTGAAGCTGCCTTCTGGGCACTTCCTTGCTGCTGTTTTTTTTTTTTTTTTTTTTTTTTTTAAAGTGTCCCTGTGGAGATTCCCACAATAGATTTGCAGAGTAACAATTGACTCCATTTTTCAGCTGGAGGTGTTGAGGTCTCAGAGGTTAGGGATAATTTGCCCCAAGTCTCCAGGCTAGTAAAAATCAAACCTGGATACAGTAACCTGGGCTCATCTGCTTGGGACGGTGGTGTTCTTGTCATTCCAGCTACTCTGGAGGCTGAAGCTTCAGAAATGCTTAAGCCCAAGGGTTCAAGGCCAGCCTGGGCAACATACCCCATCTCAAACAATCTTGAGCTTTCTCTCCACATTTGTCAAGTGGATAATCTCACCCAATTATAGTCTTGTGAGGTGTCCTCAGGCCACCCAGCTTCTCGCCTAATTCTCTGACACCTTAACAAAGGGACTGTGGACAAGAATGGTAACCTTTGACTGCCTTACAGCCACAGCCAACAAGTTCAGGGGTGAGACTACAGGGCTGTGAATTTGAAACATGATTTCGGTTATGTTTATTTCTCATTAAAAAGTGTGTTCCAGTAACAGACCTGGATGAAAAACTCCAGCCCTGTTTCTAGCCCAAGGGCTTCCTTGCTCTATACATTTGCCCTATTGTCTGCTTCATTTTTGAACTGTCATTTTCATAAACTCTGAGAATCTAAGAAAAGGGCCTCAAGGCTGGCCTGGCCCCATTCATTCTCCTGGTCCTTCTGAGAGCTGGCCACCCAAGCCAGATCTTCCAGGGAGGGGAGCTAGCCACAGCCCAAGGAAATAAATCCATGTCATCGCAGGGACAGCCTGGACTCACCCGGAGTCTCTGGGGTTGTGTTTAGCTTTGTCTGCTTATGTCATTTACCACTTTGTGCTGTTTATTTATGCCTTGCCTTGTGGTAGAAAGGACCGCAGGTGACTTACAAGGGTACTTAAAACTTGGCAAAATAACATAAATTAGAAATGGAGTGAAAGGAAATAAAAGAAATGTTTAACCATAGTGGACTTTGAAACCTCAGTGGTTGCTGGAAGGCGACAGAGCACTTGGGAGAACAGAGTTTGGAGCCAGAGTGCCTGGATCCAACTCCACCTCTGCTGTATGGCTCTGGCAAGTCTTTGCATCTTTCTCAGCCTTGGGCTCCTCACCTACAAAAGAGGAATACAATACCAATGTCTCTATCTCAGGAGCACCAAGTAAGCTGACACACACATGCAGTTTGTAATACAAATGCATACATAGTGTAATTACATAACACACAAACTGTCACACATATGCCTATGTAAATATACATAAAAACCAGGGCTACACATGAAGCTTGCTAGGTAGAATGCTTGCCTAGCATGCAGAAGGTCCTTGATTCAGTCACTCATACTGCAACTAGGAGAATAAATAAGTACAGGTACAGAAAGCTAGCCATATAGCAGACAAAGGGATATGAGTTATCAGTATTAAATTGCTGAAGCTATACAGAAAATTTTAATTATTTCAAAAACATTTAATTATGTCAAGTTTCATGACATTGGAAAAAAGAAAATTGGAAAAACGTGCATAATGTAGTGTCATTTCTATTTTTCAAAAGTGTCCATTAGAAGACATTGTTAATAGTAATTATGCCCTGAAAGGGAAATGGCCAGTGATTTTGACTTATCCTTGCTGATACGTTCTCAATTTTCTATAATACAATAGGAAAGAAAGCTAAGAAAGAAAAAGCAAAGGGAAGACAAAGTAGATGTGGGAATAATGCCAACATGCACTCTGGGATGGCCTGTTCGCCTCCTGTGGGTGGGCTACCAATTTGTTCCTAAGCTTTCCCGCAGCCAAAGTGAAAAGGAGACCACGTCCCTTACACAATTCTCAGTGTCCATGAGATAAAAACAGACCTATTGCTCAAGAGAATTACAACTCTTCTTGGTACTAAAATCAGACAGGAATTTCTCCTGGGGGTGGGGGCCTCATAAAGGGAACACGGTGTGAGGTAATGAGCAAACATCCCATAATAGTCACAACAGTGAGCTCCATGGGGCAGGCACTATGACCAGCCCTCCACACAGGGGATGGCATCTCAGCAGAACAAGTCAGGAAAACACGTTTCTGTCAAAGGGGGGTCTAAAAGAGACAAATTGGGGTGCTCAGCTCCCTGACCTCGGGACATCTTGGAGTAGTTAAAAGACAGGACTGCACAGTGCTTGCCATGCTGCTTCTGCTGGGAGCTTTCAATGCATCTTATGTGACAAGTTTGAGAGACAGTGAGTTTGAAAGTGCTCTCCATGGCTTGTGGTTTTTCTGCACTGCTACCAATGGGCTTCAGCAGGGAATGGGAAGACAGCACTTTCTATTTTGATTACCATGGTTTAAGGTCTAACTTGATCTCCTTCAGCTCATCCTGTTAGGCAGGACAGTCTCACCTTGCACTCTAAGAAGTCTGAGTCTTCTGGAATATGCTAGAACTTCTCTGCCTCCACTCAAAATCCATCTTTTACATTTGGTTCATTTTGACCCTGCCCAGGTCTCTCACCTGTCTCTTTGGAGTTTGGAAATGAACCTCTCTCTCTCTCTCTCTCTCTCTCTCTCTCCCTCTCTTCTAGGCAAAATGGTACCATTTCTTCCTTTTGGTGGCCTTTATGGAACCTGGGTTTGTGACCAGCCTGCAGTCTCTCCCAGTGACACTTTTCAGTTGTCATTGCCCCTTCAGAAAGCCTGCTGCCTTCTGAGCAGACAAATGAACAAAACAGATGTCCGAGTGTTTCTTCTCAAAGTGGGGGTTATAAATACACCCCGTGAAGGCATGTTGGTCTCTGAGCAGTGGGATCCAGGGTACAAATGAGTTCAAAACAACAGTAGAGTTCTTGGGTGAGAAAGCAAATTCCCAGGTGTTTATGCAAGGAATGCATTGGGAGGGAGGAGCCATCATTCTGGGCTTACAGCCCTTCTTACCTGCAAAGCTCAAAAACATAACATGCTAGGGAGAGGAGAATGGGCAGTGTGAAGACTTGGGAGTGGCCCGAAGAGAAGAATCTGGGGCCCCGGGTGTCCTAGCAACTGATGAGCAAGACTGTTTCAAAGGCAATGATCATGGGCACATGCCTTAAAAGTCAAGATAAGATCTGAAGGGAGAAAGCCATTGGTGACCTTGACAGGCCATTGCTGTAGAGTGGTGGGGGACACAAGCCAGTCTGTCTGCCTTAGGTTGTGGAGTGAAAGCGAGGTGAGAAAGTAAAGATAGCAAGTGCAGACAGCTTCCAGTAAGTGCGATGACAAGCGGGAGGAAAGAGAGCAGGGCCTAAGCAGGAAGGTGATATGGGAGGGCCCCCGCTTTCCATTGTTTATAAGATAAGGCTATTTGAACATGCCTTATGCGATAGGAAGGAGCCTGCAAGACAGAGAGGTGGCAATGTGATCGGTCAGGTAGCCCGAAAGCGTCCCAGGTTTCAATGAAATAGGAAGTGACACGATCAGCTGAGAGTGGGGGAAGGGCTGTTACACTGGAGGTTTGAGGGCACCACAGCTGCAAATGTCCCTGAGATAAAGGCAATGTCTGCTGGGAAGAATAAAGGCGAAAGACAGTATATAATAGCCCCCTCAGTCATGGGACAACCACGTAAACACAGAACCTCTGCAGCCCCCAGAAGCTGTGCTGCACAATAATTTGACCAGGAACCATATGCAGTTGTTTTAATTGCAGCATCAAGAAATTCAAATCAATGACATCTAAAGCTCAGTTACCTCAGGTTTGGACGATGCTGGTAAGGTGCATTTCTATCCTCTCTGAAACTTCTTCCAGACAGACCTCATGAGAGAATCCAGGAGGACCAAAGAAGAAACAAAGAAGTTACTGAGGAGGCTGTGACCCAAAACTGGATGCCAGAGATCAGGGTTCCACAGGTGGAGCAGTGCCCCTTCCCCCCCTGGGGTGGGGGGGGGACAAAGCCCATGGGGACCAGTGGAGAGGGAGGAACAAAGGCTTAAAGGAGGCCAAGGTGCTGTTTATATTGTTGGCCAGCATCAGACTGAGGGAGAAGAATCTCAGATCAGACCCAAGCATCTGCAAAGCAGGGAAGGAGTGGGGCAGCCCTAGAACAGCTGGGGGTGGGGGGTTTAGGAGGCAGAGAAGCCTTGTGATGCTGGTCTTACAGAAGCAGAACTCTTTGGGGCTTGTCCCTGCTGTTGCTTTAATAAAGATGGAAGGGTTACAATAACATCTATTAAGTATACACCAAATCGCCTATGTTAATTCATTTTAAGATCTTTTCTTCTGGAACACTTTAATATTTTATTCAACTTTAATTTAGCATATATTGTCAACAAACTTTTATTTTAAAGAGCTATATAATAATTACTTCATACTTTTCAGGCCAGGTGGTTCACTGCAATGACTCATCAACGTATTGTCTTGCAATACAAAAGCAACCATAGGTAG